GGCGGTTGGCGCATAATTGCTCTAAGCTGTTAAACAGCGTGCAAAGTTGTGAAAAGCGATTGCAAAGTTGGTAGATTTGCGTGTTTATTTGAATTAAGTTGTTGTCATGTCCCACCATACAGTTATAACGAAGAAAAAAATGAATGAAATCTAAATAAAATCTCGATTAGTAGCAGACAGGTATATAAGGTGACCGTAACATTTCCAAAACAGCCTAAAAATATGAAAAGCAATTGAAAAGGTGGCGACATTGCTTATATATTTGACCTAAGTCATTGTGATATCGACTCGGCAATTAAATTTAGACAAAAATGAAGAACAAGTGACTGTTGGAAAACCTCGTTATATTAGCAGATTTTACCACAACCAAAGCGTGAAATATAAAAAACAAAGTGCTGACAAAGTTGTGAAAACTTATTGCAACCTTGCGCGAGATTTACATGAAAATGTGACCAATGTTGTTATATCATCGTGACCTATTGTTAAAAGTTCGAAAAACTGAATAAATATGTCATAAATGGCCGTTGTATTGTCGTATTATATTCTGCAGCATGTAGAGGTCATAGGTCAACTCACGAAAGACACAATTGCAAACGACAGCAATTTCGAATAATTTTTGAAATAGTATATTACAGTCAATTTGGACAAAAAATTCTAATGTCTTTCTAGCTAAGTGGTCAGGTATTCGAATCATCATGAAGCTAAAGTCAATCGGGCGAGGGCTGTACTTTCATGGGAAACAACCTGAGAAAACAAGCTGAAATAATTTATATTTTTTTTTAATTTTTGTCACACTCATGGAAAAGACACACAACTATCTTTTGTGTATTCTTTAATAGCATGATGTTAACCACTGATAGCAAAAGTTTCGCGCTTATTATTTTGATTTTTTAAGTTTCTAGAAAGCTTCAAAATTTGAACATCTTTTCAATAAACCCATAGTTTTGGCAGCTGGCGCATAATGGTTCTAAGCTGTAAAAACAGCGTGCAAAGTTGTGCAAAGCGATTGCAAAGTTGGTAGATTTGCGTGTTTAATTGACTTAAGTTGTTGTTACATCGAACTGCAGTTATAAAGAATAAAAAAATGAATAAAATCCATTTGAAGCCTCCTATGTTAGCAGACTGTCAAAAAAGCCGACCGTAAACATAAAAAACAGTATAAAAAATGTGAAAAGTGATTAAAAAGTTGGTTGATATCCGCGCATAGTTTCCTTGATTCATTTTATATCGAACCCCGCAGTTAAATTTAGAATAAAAAAAGTAAAAGTCTAGAAAAAGCTTTTTATGTAAGCAGATCGTACCACAACCCAAGCGTAAAGTAATAAACAAAGTACATACAAAGTTGTGAAAAGCTCGTGCAAAGTTGACAGATTTACATGATAATGTTACTTATGTTGTTACTTTATCAAAACCTGCAGTTAAAGTTCGGAAAAGTGAATACAATACATATCTCGTAAAATGCCGTTTAAATATCGTAGTAACTCCCGATGGTTGTAGAATTTTGAACCATTTACAAACATTAAATGGACGCCAATTTGAATAAATGTCAAATGACTCTTATAGGTGAGTGATCAGGTGATGTACCGATCACAAAAGTAAAGCTCAATCGGTCGTGGTTAGTACTTGCATGGGAGACAATCTGAGAAAATCAGAGGGTGATATTTTTTTGGACTTGCCGTACACATTGAAAAGACAAAAAAGCAATTTTTGTTCGGTATTTCCTACTCTAATGTCGAACATTTCACTGCATGAAAATTCGAATTTCCGTCGTAACCGCTCGCCGGATTAAAATAACAATGGCTAACAAAAGATAGATTAACATTGTAAACAACATAAACAATAGTGTCCCATGATTCTTTGGTGCAATCCATGGGACTATAAAAATATATTTCTAACTAAACCGTTTATAAATTACTAATTTATCTTCAATTATATATTATTTGTTTTACAATGATATTGTTTGAACTAATACTCAATGATTCGATTGTGGCGAAGTGCTTAACTAGCGACTGTAACTGTACATTACATAAATATGCTATTATAGCGACATAGAACAATTTATTACATACGCATCCGTAGTGACTAATAGTAATATTACTTCTGTTATTACGCTCTT